AAGTGGGCAGGAAGCGCTGCAATCACGGGTGTCGCAAGGCCTGTCGGCAGGGGGCGGGGGACCTTCTCACGGGCTCCACACGCGTGTGCTCACGTGTGCTCCCCTGCCAGCAGTGCCGCCTTGGACCCCGTGACCGCCCCCCAGCTGGAGAACCTGGGGCTGGGAGCTCTCCCCAGGCAGTGCCCTGGCACGGGCTGCACCCCCAGAGTTGTGCTGGTGTGAACAGCGCCTGGACCGCCGCCCATGGGACCCAGGGGGCCAGGCCCAGACCCCCAGACCTAAAGAGCAGCCAGGGCCCAGGCCCAGGAGGCGGTGGGGGCTACTTGGCGGGGCTGCGGCCCACGCAGGGTTAACCAGGTGCACGGGGCGGTACAGGAGCCCCCCTTGAAGAAGGCGGGGGCCGGACGCCTGGGTTCCCTTCTGGCTGGGGAGGAGCGGAAGCTGCCTTGAGGTTTGGCCTGGTTCCTCTTTGCTGGATTCACTAGAAAGTTTCCTCCAGGGCCAGTCTGCTGCTCCAGCTCACAGAGCCACAGCGGGTGCCAGGGAGAAGTCAGGCATGCGGGCCCCCAGCACCCCGCTGGCACCCCCGCCCCACTCCCCTGCCAGAGAAGCCAGGCCCCCAGCCCCGCTCCCAGCGCCAGGAGAGGACCCAGGTGTCCGGGGCTGCCCCAGAGAGCCGCATTTGCAAAGCAAATGGGGGAGTGCAGCTCGGGGGCCGGGGGGAGGGGAGCAGGGGCTGTGTATAGCGCACACGCCAGCAACACGTTTGCAGAGATGGGGCCAAAGCAGCGCACACGCTGGGCCCAGAGCAAGCACAGCCATGGCATACGCATGTGTGGATCCAGAGTGTGTGCATGGCCATGGCACACATGTGCATGTCCAGCGGCTGTGCATGGCCATCCGTGTCCAGGCAGTTTCACATCTACAAGCCGCGGCCTCGCTTCTCGTGTCCAGTTTTTATTACAAACACAGGAATCAAGGGATGCCTCAACCCCCACCCCCAACCAAGCTGGAGGGGAGATGCCCCCAGGGCCAAGAGGGGGTGGGAGCCAGGGATGGCCCCTTCAGATGTGAGCCCCCCCCACCCCCAGACTGCACAGCTCTGCAAAGCAGAGGGGCACCCAGGCATCTGGGCCCCCAGCCTCCCCGCTGGAGAACAAGAAAGAGCCCAGATGTCCTGGCCACTGCCCCCCACCCTCACCCCCAACCCCGACCCACAGCACAGGAGAGCCCCGGTGTCTGGGCTGCCTGGGCCCCCCGGGCTAGGGGCCCAGGTCACTTCTTCTTGACCTCAGCATAGACAGTGGATGGCCCCGTCAGATGTGAGCCCCCCCCACCCCCAGACTGCACAGCTCTGCAAAGCAGAGGGGAACCCAGGCATCTGGGCCCCCAGCCTCCCCGCTGGAGAACAAGAAAGAGCCCAGATGTCCTGGCCACTGCCCCCCACCCTCACCCCCAACCCCGACCCACAGCACAGGAGAGCCCCGGTGTCTGGGCTGCCTGGGCCCCCCGGGCTAGGGGCCCAGGTCACTTCTTCTTGACCTCAGCATAGACAGTGGTGTCGGCCTTGGAGGGGCCTTGGGGCCGCGGCGTCTGCAGCCCTCCAGCCCGGAAAGCGACGGAGCTGTAGCTCACCTCCTCCTCCTGCTGACAGGGCGGGTCAGGAGGGGGGGACCCAGGTGTCCAGGCTCCCAGCCCCCTGCTCTCACCCCCACCCCCCAGGGAGCCCAGGTGTCTGAGCCCTGCCAGTCCTCACCTTGAGGGGGCCGCTGCGGGTGACGTCAGGCCCTGGGGATGGCAGAGACGGGTTAAAACAGGGGTCCCAAGGGCCCAGCCCCCTGCCCCCAAGCAGCAACAGGGGCACAGTGTTGCTGACACCCCAGGATCCTGGGACAGGGGAAGTGCCTGTGATGTCACTTCCTGTGTGCTAAGGGGGTTCCCATGATGTCACTGGGGTGCCCCCCACTCTCCCACAGCCCTCAGCACTCACCATGGGGGGCCACAGGTGTCCTGGATCCAGTTTGCACCGGTTTCTTGCTGTGCCTGGGGAGAAGGCAGCATGAGCCTGGGAAGGGGGGATGGGGAACACCCTCCCCCCCCATGTCTGTTTGCCCCTGCCTGTCTGGGCAAATCCAGGCTCCAGGCCCCCTCCCCACCCAGACAACCCATGTGTCTGGGCTTCAGGCCCCACACCAGGCCAGTACCTTTTGCTCTGGCCCCAGAAGTAGTAGAAGACAAAAACAAGCAGCCCCAACCCCACCAGCGTCCCGATGATGATGCCAGCGATGGCGCCGCCTGACAGACTTCCTGCGGGCAGATAGGAGGAGGCTCAGCCAGGTGCAGGGTGGTATGCAGCACCCAGGTGGCACCAAACCAGATACAACGGAGGGTCAGGCTGGGACTCAGAGACCGCCACACCAGGGAGGATTGGGCCAAAAGAAACCCCAGGGGGTTCAACAACCACAAGGACAAAGTCCCGCATTTCAGACAGGACAATCCTGGGGTGGGCTGGGGGCCAACGGGCTGGGCAGCAGCTCTGCAGAGAAGGACCTGGGGTGACAGGGGACCAGAAGCCAAATAGGAGCCAAGAGGGTGCCCTTGTGGCCAAACCTATCCGTGGAAACTGGAACGCAGTTAAATTGCAAAAAAGGGCAGTTTTCATCACATGTGCAAGCAACCAAGAAGGCGAATGGCACCCTGGGCTGCGCTTGTAGGAGCATCGCCAGCAGATCAAGGGCAGTGATTCTTCCCTCTATTCACCACTGGAAAGGCCACATCTGGAGTCCTGTGTCCAGCTGTGTGCCCTGCGCTGCAGGCAGGACTGAAGGGAGAGACCAGCAGAGGTCAAAGAAGAGGGTTCAGTGGCTGGGGAACAGGAGGGATGAAGAGCTGCTGAGGGAAATGGGCTGAGTGAGCCAGCAGAAGAGAAGACTGAGGGAGGATTTAATAGCAGCCTCCAGCTCCCTGCAGAGGGGCTGCAAAGAGGAGGGAGATGGACTGTGCTCAGCAGCAGCAGATGACAGAACAAGGAGCAATGGGCTTAAGCTACAGCAGGGGAAGTCGAGGTCAGAAATGAGGAAGAACCATCTCACAAGGAGAATGGTGAAGCGCTAGGACAGGCTGCCTAGAGCGGTGCTGCAGTCTCCATCCCGGGAGGGGCTGAAGTCGCGGGTAGACAAAGCCTTGGTTGGGATGACCAAGGTGGGGCTGGTCCTGCTTGGAGGAGCCGGCTGGAGCAGACAGGACCGCCCCAGGTCCCTTCCCACCCACATCATCTATGATTCTCTGACCCCACAAAAGATTGGCAGTCGTGAATCCCATTCAAAACCCTCCCAGCAGAGTTGGGACAGAACCCAGGTGTCCAGGGGCTTGCAAACAGGGGGTCCTGGCCTTGGGGGTCCCAGACAAGTGTCAAGAGCGCACAGACATAGACCTCTCCCATGCTCAGTGCCAGGACCATGGCAGGCAGCAGCCTGACCCCAGGCAGCATGGGCGGGGGGTGGCCCCAAACTCACCTGCCTGCTGCCCCGGCCCCAGGGCGACGGAGACAGAGGCAGTGGCGCTGCGGCCCGTGTGGGGGTTGGTGGCGAGGCACTCAAATACACCCATCTGCTCCGCGCCCCTCAGCACCAGGCTCAGGACGGCACTGGTCAGGGCTGGGACCAGATCAGACCCATTGTGGGACCAGTGGAACCGCGGGGCCGGGAACGAGTTGGCCGTACACGTTAGGGTCACGTTGTCACCGAGCTGCGGGTGCAGGGGCCCCGGCGGGACGATGTGGGCTGTGACCGGACCATCTGCAGGGAGAGCAAGGGATGACACTGCCCACAGCCACCCCAGAGCCAGCCGCATCCCAGGGTGTGATACCAGCCTCAACACCCACCCCAGAGCCAGCCACATCCCAGGGTGTGATACCAGCCCCGACACCCACCCCAGAGCCAGCCGCATCCCAGGATGTAATACCAGCCTCAACACCCACCCCAGAGCCAGCCACATCCCAGGGAGTACTACCAGCCCCA